GCAGCAGCCTGCTGGCACTACAGATGTTTCCTTGAGAGCCCAGACCTCTATAAGCATTGCTATGAGATACTAATCTGAAAGGCAGCAGCACATGACTTCCAGACCTCTGGGTCCAGCTGCAATCTCAATCTGTTTGCATTAAACAGTGGCAGAAGGCACTGAGCAGGAGCAGCCCTTCCTTGTTAGGAGCCAACAGATGGACTCAATAACAACAGGTCAAATGGCATCACAATACACTGTATACATGGTGGGAAATTTTAACCACACAGCCACAGGCTCAGGCGAAATTCCAGAGAAGCTGCCTAGAAGGTGGTGCCCTACAAAGGCTCCTCTGCTCCTTCATTCAGCAGCAACTCTATCGGGAACCATGCAGTAAGGACCCCAGAAACCCAATGAGAACACTGGCAAAAACTTTCCAAACAAATAAACGTTTCTAGAGCTCTGGAAATTAACTAAAGGCTCATAACAATCCAGGGAGTGTTGAAGGAAACTGGCCGAATCTCAGAGCAGCAAGTATTTCAGCATTTTTACCTGCCCTATTCACAGCCCTCCAACCCTCTGCCCCCCAGCTCCCTGGTAGCCTTGAAAGCAACAGCAGCAATCCCTGTAAAACCCAGCAGCTTAGCAGCCACAGGAAAGGTAAAGATAAAGGCTGGAGCTGAGAGTGACCTCATTTGCCGTCTGGTGATTCCACCTCCAATGGCTAGCCTGTGACCTGATTCTTAGCTCACCCAGCATTCTCCCTGGGGATGTTTGTCAAAACAATCAGCAGCAATTTAGTTGGCACTGGGGCAAACAACAAGCTAACAAAAACTGGAAAATGAGATATCCACAGGGGGCCTGAGAAGCCATTATGTTCCTGGGGTTACACAAGGGACAGCAGGCTCAGGGCTAAGCGCTGTTCATGAAATACCTGAACAGGTTGGGTGGGTAGAAGTGCTGACAACAAAACTCTCCCAACTTTTATACCCAATAAGACTATCCTTCTTGAAAAATAAGGAAGACATTCCCAGACTGAAAAAAACCCAAGACAAACCAGTGTTAGTAGACCCACTCTACAAGGAATATCAAAAGACTCCATCAGGCTGAAAGAAAAGGACACTAGACAGTAATTTGAAAGGCAGCCACATAAGCATGTAGAAAAGACAACATCAATGTATTTTTTTATTGTAACTTACTTCCTCTATTTGATTTAAAAGGTAACTTCACAAACCAATTGTAAGCCTGTGCTGATGGGCATACAATATATAGAAATGTCATTTGCATGACAATAGCAGCACAAATGAGAGAGGGACTGGAGACAAGCTTTTGTATGCTATTGAAATTAAGTTGGTATGAATCTTAACTAGAGTGTTAAAATAAATCATGATGTTAACTGTAATTCCCAGGGCAACTGCTAATAACTTACACACACACACACACACACACACACACACACTCTCTCTCTCTCTCTCTCTAAGAAACCACAAGGAAATTAAAATGGCACAGTAGAAAGTATTTCATAGGCTCTGTGCTAGTAGGAGGAGGAGCAGGGAATCAAAAGATGTCTGAGACAGACACTATCTCCACTCCAGCCAAATCTAGTTGAGTAATACACAATATACACAACACAAGGAACAAAAGTGACGATCAGTTATAACACATGCTGTACCATGTGATAAAACGTGAGAGCTTGGATAGATTCAAGGAGATGGGTGCTTCAGGCTATCCTAGAAGGCCCTGGGAAGAGATAAGGTTGAGAGCTGAAGGCTGAGAAGTTTCAGAAAGGAGTATCCCAGAGGGAGGAGCCCCAGAAGTCCCCATGGCCAAGAGGGCTTTCTGGCTCTGGAAACTGACCAAGGCCACTGGCTAGACGGGGTTGAGCTAAGCAGCAGCAAGGTCACACTGAACCTTGAGGCTGATGGATTTGGCACAATTAACACAGAAGTATTTTAAGCAAAGGAGCAACATGATGCTGTTTTTACAAGCTGGCTTTGGTGGCAGTGTAGGGGCTTGGAGGGTGTGTCATTCCAGACTAGGACGCAGTGGAGACAAAAGTGGAGAAAATACAAGGTACAGTTTTGAAGGCAAGGCCCTTAGGATTTGTTGATGGATCAGATGGGGAGAATGAGGGAAAGGATAAAGAATAGCTCCCAGATTGCTAGTATTCATACGAGCTGAGTGAATAACGGTGTTATTTCCTGAAGCAGTAAGTTCAGGAGAGGACCAGGTTTCCGAGGGAAATCAAGAGTTCGATTTTGGACATAGTAAACCTGAGATGCCTACAAAACAGCTAAGAAGAGAGTCTGTCAAGATCAGCCTGGAGCCCAAAGAGGTCAAGGTGGGAGACATTTTGATCTCTTCCGGCTACACAGTTAAAGCTCTGCTTGAAGAGTATCAAGCAAGGCAGGGTGCAGGCAGGAAAAAAGGCCTGCTGAGATGTTTAGTAGAGAACAGCTGAGGAGATGGCCACACGAGCAGAGCTGGCAGGCTGACCGGGAGACAGTGGAGTCATGACAAGAGACAGCAGTGAACTGTGTGGAATGTAGAATGCTACCGAGAGGTCAAGAAAGAAACCAGAAACCACCTATCAGACTTGGTGACAAGCAGGTGAGAAGCCACTCAGGCAAGAGCATCTCTGGTGATCCAGTGGGGAGATGTCAGACTAGATAGGACCTGGAGTGGATGGCCAATTTAGTTTTGTCAAAATTCTATCATATTCATTTTAATTTGTAATAATTTGTATTTTAAAATTTAATTTTGAACGGCAAAATACTTTGGATATAGTTTTATAGCTGCACTTCCTGTATTTCACTAAATCTAAGACTATACTTACGTACCACTAAGAAAAGCATTACCTTTTACAACAGTTTTTTTTTTTTTTTTTTTTTTTTTTTTAAGAGACAGATCTGACTATGTTGCTAGGCTGAAGAGCAGTGGCTACTTACAGGCATGCTCTCGCTGCTAATCGGCACAGTTCTGACTGCTGTTTCCAGGTTGGACTGACTCTCCCTTTCTTAGGCAATCTGGTAGTCCTTGGCTCTCAGGTCACTATATTGACGCTGAACTTAAGTGTACACACCAGACTGGCACTGCACACTACAGCTCAGAACGCCTGGGCCCCAGCAATCTCCCAACTCAGCCTCCTGAGTAGCCAGGACTAGAGGCACATGCATCATGCCCAGTGACAATGTTTTATCACTGATTATAAGACATGTTCTGGCTGGGCAGTGGCTCACGCCTGTAATCCCAGCACTTTGGGAGGCACAGGAGGGCACATTGCCTGAGGTCAGGAGTTTGAGATCAGCCTGACCAATACGATGAAACCCCGTCTCTACTAAAAATACAAAAATTAGCTGGGCATGGTGGCACACGCCTGTAATCCCAGCTACTCGGGAGGCTGAGACAGGAGAGTTGCTTGAACCCAGGAGGCGGAGGTTGCAGTGAGCCGAGATCACACCACTGCAATTCAGGATGGGCAACAAGAGTGAAAAAGACTAATGCTCCAACTGTCAAGTAAATGAGTCAACTGTCTTCTTGGGATTGCTGTCTTGGACAGCTGGACTGGGGCTTATCCTGTGTGGCAGACACCTCCAAGGTTCAACGCAGGATTTACACTGCACAGGGGTGCAGGTTTCCCTATGTTCATGGCACTCAGAAGAGTCTAGCACATGCCAGGTGGTCAGGGCATACCTGAAGGGATGTGTGAAGTACACCACATCAAGAAATGACACTGTGCTCCCTCCAATCAGGAGTCCAGTCCTCAAAGGACCACTCCAGGAGAGTTGAACTTGTTCCTAATACAACATGCTGTTGTAAGTTCCATTTACATAGACATAACTGGATAAACTAGATACCCATTTTACATTTAGCACTCATACATTTTTAGTCCTAAGAATAACCCTGACAGTAACAATACTGTGTTGTCAAAATTTATTTTTATTTAAAAGGTGATTATTTGGCCAGGCATAGTGGCCCATCTCAGCTACTTGGGAGGCTGAGGTGGGAGGCGCCCTTGAGCCCAGGAGTCTGTGACCAGCCTGGGCAACACACTGAGACTCTGGCTCTGGAAACTTTTTTTTTTTTAATTAGCTGGGCATGATGGCATAGGTGCCTGTAGTCCCAGCTACTCACTTGAGCCCAAGAATTTGAGGCTGTAGTGAGCTATGATCTGCACTCTAGTCTGGGTGACAGAGTGGATCCTCTTTAAAAATGTATTTGGTGGAGGTCTTCTAAGGCAGAAATTTCATCCTGGAATGGCAAATGAGGCAAAAATATTTTAAAAATCCAAATTAATGGCATGTGTTTTAAGAACATAGCTTTTCATCAAAAAAACTGCAAAACAAAACTATATTTTATTAATAACGTCAATGGTAACATTTGCTTACATATTAGAAATAGCTCTGTGAAACTTTAGCTGCAAAAGGGAATCATTTAAAAAGCACCGCTCAACTCCAAGTTTGACTCACAGAAAAGGTGACAGCCACCAAGCAAATGAAATCCCTCCTCTCCTTCACAGCTGCTCCTTGGAGAAAGGGAGGGCTGTCGTCCGGGTCTGAAGGAGGCTCCCGAGACCCTCACACAGAACACTGAGCTCCGGGCTGGTCTAGGATGGAAGCAGGCAAGGCTGCTTCCTCAATTGTCTCCTGCGACACAGACATCGAGCTAAGCTACGAGTGAGGGTGAACCGTGCCTCTCAGCAGTTCCTCCTCCTAGTCCAGCCTCCCAACCACGAAGCATTTCAGTCAAGGTTTAGGATTTGAGAGTGGAAGGAGAGAATCTGATCACTGGGGAGGAGCTTCCCTCACAGACCCCCAGGGCCACTCAGCTTCAGTCGGCTGTAACCCAGCCCCAACATCTGCCAGCCACCAGCCAGGGCGTCCACGAGGAACAGGCACCTCAGCGTGGCCACGTCTTCCCTGGTTTCTGCAATCCAACCTGGGGCCTTCCTGAAGGCCAAGCGAGAAACTCAGGAAAAGGCTTTTCTTCTTTGAAAGCCACATCAAGTAGCACAAAGGACCGAGGTTTGCAGCTATTTTATTTACAAGTATACATTTAACACAATGAAATCAACACTGACACACTGAAGCCTGGTTAGTAGTAGTGTAACAATATGCATCATGTTGATGGTTACATTATTTTAAACAACAAACTACACTGAAAAATTAATGCCAATAAAATTCTTGGTCATAATATTAAGAAATACAATATATAAATTGAAAATATGATTGCTTAAAATTTGAAAATGGAAGTGAACTCATTTGGACAGAGTCAGAGTTAACATAATCTGAAGGGAGGGGAGCTCTGACCCAAATGATATCTTTCAGGTTAACAGAAGAAAAAAGAAGCATAGTTTCTCTTCCAGGATAACGGGCAGTTTGCTTCTTCAGGTAGAAGATATTCCCAGTGTCCTCAGGCTTTGCAGCAGAATCACATCACCGAGCATGAAGACTTGCCTTGTGAAGCTGCTCCATCAATTTTCTCTGCCTCCAAAATTATCCTTCTAAAAACATCAACAGCAGTCTGAAAAAAGAAAGAAACCCAATCACAGTGTTAGTGTGAGGCTGAACTCCAAGAGTACTTCACCAGCTGAGGAGGACACGCGGCTTGCCCAGCCCTGCTGCTGGTGGAGGTGAAGAGGATCTGGTGAACCCCAGATCTTCAGGACCTCGACGCCCAGTGAGGAAGCTGCCTCCATCCCTACTGACCCAGACCACAACCAGCCTCCCATTGCGCTTTTTACCCCGTTTTCTTCAGGCCAGAAGAGTCCTCACTCCTGGGCTTACCATCATCTCCTGTCCCACTCTACCCCACGACCCCCTCCCAAGTGTCCTCTGACCTCAGAGTCCCTCTTCACTTCTGGCGCTACCTTCCCTTCTTTCCCGTGGGACACGCTCTTCTAGCAGCCCTTGCCTCTCACATCCTTGACACCATGAGGCCTCAAGTGGGGGAGGCCCCCTCTGTGCTCCTTCTGAGATGCCACGATGCCAGTCTCCAACGCCTCTGTGGCGTAATTTCATTTCAATCCACAAACTGCCCTCCCTACCTCCTGGTCTCTCCTCTCCTCTCCTGACCGTCTTCCTGCCCTCGCCTCAGCCCAGGGTCAACCCTGCTAGTCCTTCACCACAGAGAGGAATCATGGCCACTTGGAACAGAACTCCTCTTACACTGAGAGGGGAGGAAACTGTCAGATGCTGTCATTTAAATGCATCCTGCGGTCATGAAAAGCTGCCCTTGTTCTCAGGAGCCCCACGGAAAGTGCCCAGTTCTTGCATCACCAAGAATCCCCTCCCCGCATCACTCCAGTACTTTCAGTATCCCACAAAACCACCACGTAACAACTTCCAGCATCCCATCACACCACCTTCCCAGCTCTTTCTATAGCTATCCTGAAGCAAGTTTTCAGCCCCACAGGGCCTGAGCTGTTGACCCGATTACTACATCTCCCCGTCCCTTAACCACTTCTAGCTCTTCCCTTCCCCCTCAGCCAGCTCAGGCTCAGCAGTCCACCATGGTGTCACTGCACTTCACCTCCCTTCCCTACCAAGTGTTGCCAGCACAGTGTCTGTGGCCATGCTGTAAACACTGCCCAGGGAAAACACACATGGCCGACTGCTGACTTCACACTCCTGACCAGGAACCTGGTGCTGACACTTGGTGCTGCCTAGCCACCAGACTGCACCCCTGGGTCTGGGCACTCCCCAGAGAAAGGCTCCATGCCTTGTCCCTGCTCCTCAATGTTCCTCATCCTCACACTCAGCTGCAAACCTTGTTTTACACACTTCACTGGAAAACGGAAGCCACCTTCATGAAAGAACTCCATATCCTCTATCTACCAAGCAGACCCACCCACTTGAATGTGGGCTCCCATCCTCAGCCTTCTGTCCTGCTGCTATGAATGAGGTATCTGTTCTCCTAGTTAACAGAAGCCAACCCCAGGTCCCACCCCACGTATCTAATCTAGGTCACTGGCTTCGGACACCTGATTGACAGGGAGCAGTGATTAGAGAAAACAGGACTAGATGTGGGTGAGATTTACAATTCAGTCTAGTTCTTATACCATGTAAGGTAGATGGTGATCTTAGAAACATCATTTAACTTCTCTGAAACTTAATTTCTTCAATTCTAAAATGAGGTGGTTCAACTACATGATCTGAAGGATATAGTAGGCACTCAATGGATGATTGATTTCATCCAATTTTTAAAATATAGGTATCTCTTCACTATCTCAATTCTTATTTGAATTCTGTCCATACTCAGAAACTGAGCTGATTTTGATAAATCCCTTGCTATCTGGAACTTGGGTACCAATTACACAGATTTGTTTATTCTTTCATCCATACATAGGAGGACATAACCACAGGGATTCACTGTCCCTCTGCATCCCAACACGGGCCCGTCTCACTCTCCCTCGGCGTCCCAGCGCAGGGACGGTCTCACTCTCCCTCAGCGTCCCAGCGCAGGGACGGTCTCACTCTCCCTTGGCATCCCAGCACCGGGAGGACTCACTCTCCCTCAGCATCCCAGCGCGGGACGGACTCACTCTCCCTCGGCGTCCCAGCGCGGGACGGTCTCACTCTCCCTCCATATCCCAACAAAGGACTGACTCACTCACTCTCCATATCCGAACACAGGACGATTCATTATCCCTGCATATCTGAACACAGAACGAAACAGATTTGACTATTATGGGATACCTGGGTTGACCATGAACCTACTAGATACAAAAACACTGTGCTGAACATTATGAAGAATATTTATGTAAATGATACTGACTCAGATCTCAGAACAAATTAAGGGGGCTAAGAGAAGAAACGATTCCTTTCAGCTGGATGACTCCAGAAGGGGTCAACAAGAAGTGAAATCTAGGTGGGGCCTTGAGGCCTACAAACCTCCATGGTGATGGGGAAAGGGGCAGGGCAGGGAAGGAAGAGTGCCAAGGCTGCTGGCTCCCGGCCTTCCCAAGGAAGAGGCACCCAACCCTCACTACACTAGAGTTTCCTCAGAGAAATGAAAATCTATTCATCTTACCGGAGGATCAAGTAAGATCACATGTTGAAAACACACTCCAAATATAAAACCCCACATGAAGATAAGTAGATAGTTAGAGAAAGGATCTTTTAAACTGGAGAGGAGCATTGGGAAACCAGAGATGTTTTGAAAGTGGGGTGGAGGGGACAGTAGATGGTGCGTTTAAGGAAGGGAGAAAGTAGAAGGATGTGGTGAGAGAAGAAACTAGAAAGAACAATACTGGCTGCACTCAGGGCCGGGCGAAGGGGTCTACAGAGACGGGGCAGCTCATTGGCAGTGTCTGAGCAGAGGATGGCACCATCAGATGTGTGTCTTTAGAAAGTGAAGGGCAGCAAAGAGAAATCTATAGGTGAAAAATATATTGGGGGTGGGAGACAAGCTTGGTGTAGGGGTCTAAACTAAAGCAATGGAAGGAAAAGGTTCACAGAAGATTGTGAGGCAGCATCCACACCCTTCCTACAGCACACCTTTGAAAGTGCATTTGCAGGTGAAGCCAGTACTAAATGCTCGTAAGATGGTGCTTAATCATTCCTATGTTAGAAATGAAAAATGAACACATGCATCGGACCTGGTTTCATCTAACAGAAAAAAAGGTAGGGAGTGGATACAGTTACAAAATTAGTGCCAAAGTGATAGAATTCTTTCTTTCTTCTTCCCTGTATGTACTTATTTCTGCACCAGCTATTAATACAAAACATAAATATGTTTACAAAAGGTAGAATTTCCTTTGTTAATAGTTTCTGTTTACCCTACAAATATCCTAGGTCTCACTGTAAGTAAAATACTGATCAAAGTTGTAAAAACCTAAGCAGTATCTTCCTAAAGCAACACAAAGCTTGGTATAAGAAATGGTGGAAGGCTACATGTTGTTACACAGGAGAGATCAAGACAGAGGTCAAATGCCAACTGGGAGGAACACATCCCTGAGACTGATGAGAACACAACACAAAATGGGGTTTACAGAATCCATTACCTGATTTTCTTTAGCAGAAGACTCCAAAAAAGCTGCATTCCAAGATTCTGCCAAAGCTTTCCCTTCTTCATAACTGATCACCCTAGAGGAAAAGTAAAATTCTAGTTCAAGTACTTTGCTCTTCATTATGTAAAACATCTATAATTGATTTATGAAACAGGCTCCATTTTGGTCAATTTCTTTCTCAAGTAGCAGAAGCATGCCCTGGCCCAACATTAGCATCAAGAATGTAACACAGGAGTGTTTTAATTACGCCTGAGGTGGGGAACAGAAAAGACATTGCCTTACGGGATTATCCATGCTCCAGCGAACCTTCCACCTCAGAGAACATGATCCTATTTTCTAGTACTCCCATATCTGTAACAATTGACTATTGTACAGTTACATTTTAAGCACCAAAGGCTAGGGGAAATTGTGAAAGGGCTTGAAGCTCAATTCTCTTGCGTGCAGGCTGTAAGAGTCTCTTCCTCTCTGACATGAAGCTACTTGGGCATGGAACACCCACCTCCTCTGCTCCCCACTATAATCCCCCACTCAAAACCCACCTGCTGCACAAATGAGCACTACGTCTTTTTCAAGTTTGCTCTATGCGAAGTGGTAGATAACGTAACGAGAGTTTCCTATCACGTTTGCTCTTTCTTTTCTAGAGGAATGAAAGATTTCTATTGCACTTTTGCTTCTGCTGCACACGACCATAACATCTCTGAACAGAAATCCTACAGCTAAAAATACTCTTGACATCAGAACAATAATTAAAATGACACATCAGTGACTAAATCACCTTAGACTTGGCTTCACTAATGATTTAAAAGCTACATACCTTTCCATATGCAGGTCTTTCTTATTCCCAACCAACATAATAGGTATTCTATTTATGAGGAAAAAAAGCCAAAATAAACGAGTAAGTGCCAGATTTTATTGCTCAGAAGATACTATAAGCAGTTTCTCTAACAAACAGATAAAATAGTACTACTTACTGCACTTTCCCCACCATATCCAACAATTTGCCATGGATAACTTTAATCACTTCAAAACTACATAAAAAAAAAAAGCACAAATTAGACATCCATTTGAATGTCAAAGTCTTTAATGTATGTTATGTTGACAGATGGAAAAATGTCAAATGTCACAGACTCACCATTTTAACATAAACTTAACAAAAAGAACTCTTGTTTTTTCCTAGCAATCTGTTCACGTGTGCACACATCTGACACTTAGTAACCCTGACTGAGGATGTACAAAGTGAAACAGGTAAGGCATTCAAATGGGAAAGCCCATCACTGGGGTGACAAACCACATAAATGCAAACTTTAATCACCCAACTCATTCAGCAAAGAACCAGCTGTTTACATGTACAGCTTTTTCTAGAGTACCCTAGTGCGCTCAGCCTGTTCTTGTTTTCTTTCCTAGGTATATACATTCTCTGGGTGATGCCAATCTCTCTTGGATTTCAATCAGATCAACATGCTGATGACTCTAGGTTGGAGGTGGCTCTCACCGGGAAGGGCATCTGACATGTCACAATGATCACTTAAACTCTGCCACAGTAGGATTATTTATACCACTGACTGCTGGCAAATGACCATGAACCATTCCCCACCCTCCCCCCAAAACACCCATGCAAACATTTGCCAACACATCACTAGCTCTACTTTCAAAACTGACCTAGAATCTGATGGCCTCTCACTCCCCTCCTCTGCTGCCACCCAGGTATGAAACTCCTGGCCCAAGTCCACCTGCATCCTCCACCCTTCCTGGCCACCCCGGCTCAGCACAGCAACCAGAGAACTCTGCTGCAGCAGATGGACGGTGCCTTGTTCAATGTCCTCTGATAGGTGGCCATCTCTATTTGGCCCCAGTGACTCCCAAACCCTGACCTCTGTCTCCATTCCCTTCTGTCCCTTCTTCCATCTGTCCGAGCTGCACTGGCCTCCTGCCATTCCTCTAACACTGCCAGAGCCTCTGAAGTCACCCTCCGTGAGCCCGGTATGTTCCTTCCCTAGGGATCCCTTGCCCCAAGTCTTTCCTCAAATGTCACTTTTTTTTTTGAGCTGGAGTCTTGCTCTGTCACCCAGGCTGGAGTGCAGTGGCACAATCTCGGCTCACTGCAACCTCTGTCTCCCGGCTTCAAGAATTCTCCTGCCTCAGCCTCCCAAGTAGCTGGGATTACAGGCATAAGCCACTGCTCCCAGCCTCAAATGTCACTTCTTAGACCTCTTCTGTTTACAGATTCCCTTTCTATTTCTTATCCCTTCCCCACTTTATTTTTCTTGGCAGCATGGTCACACATATCCTATCTCACGTGTGTCATTTTACTGTTTGTCTCCCACACCGGAAAGAACCAGTTCCACAAGGGCAGGGATTTGTCTGCTTTGTTCATGGTTGCATCACAAGCTTCAGAACAAGTTAGCTTGTTGAATGAATTACACACGGTGCTATTTTAATTGATGTATGCTGTCACTCTGATAAAAACAAAAATGAAATGTAACCCCCCTACAAGCTCGCTGTGGGTCAACAATGGGATACAGGTGTCCTGGGGACCTGTGTTTGCAATATAGAACCATGGTTCCCTCAGCATGCTGTACTTGCCTACATTTAAAAGTGTCGCCACTTGGGCAAAAACACAGCTGAAAGAACTGGGATTGTGTGGCAGGCAGCCTGGGGCCGGCGCTACCCACACTGCAGCCACGAGAGACTCTGAAGCAGAGGACACAGCTAGGCCACGCCCAGATTCCTGACCCACAAAACTGTGAGATCATAAATGTGTACTGTGCTAAGTGGCTAAAATTTTGAGATCGTTGATTTTCTGAATCAAATTGGTTGATTCAGAAAATTGTACAGACTTATTTCTTGGATATTCGTAAGTATTTGTGTATTCCACATACAGGTTTCTAAAAAACAAAACACCACTCTTCTCATACTCCCTCATGTCCGAAGTTTGAGAATGCTCATTATTACTACGAGCCACTATGAAAAAAAGGCATTATTTAAAACAGCCCTATTTGTTCCCAAACCTGCTTATGCCAGTTAAATTCATCATAGTCATAATTTATGTTACAAAGTTTTGAAATATGAGCGCAGACAGTTTCTGTTTCTCTGAAAACTCAAAGTTGAATACTGTGGATTGCTCTACTAAAAACACTGCACCTTAATAAGGTGTGCCAAACCAACTGAAAAAGACTGGTGGGAAAAATCACACCAATTTGTAAATAGCTGAGGTGTAGACTGTCTCCCAAGTAGCTCACTCGGAAGAAACTGAACCAGAAGTCACAATGGACAAATAGCGGCTATAGTCGTATTGAACGGCAGTGGGTGAGCTTCATATTCAAAGATGGGTATTTGAAGATTCCATAAGACCAGTGACTGAACGTAGATATATGCATTACAAAACACTGGAGATTCACATCACCTTTTTGATTTTTTTCCCCTTAACCAATGTTTTTTTTTTTTGAGACATAGTCTTGCTCTGTTGCTCAGGCTGGAGTGCAATGGCATGATCTCTGTTCACTGTAATCTCTACCTCCTGGGTTAGAGATTCTCCTGCCTCAGCCTCCCAAGTACCCGGGATTATAGGTGCCTGCCACCATGCTCAGGCAATTTTTGTATTTTTAGCAGAAACAGGGGTTTCACCATGTTGGCCAGGCTGGTCTCAAACTCCTGACCTCAAATGATCCACCCACCTTGTCCTCCCAAAGTGCTGGGATTACAGGTGTAAGCCACTGCGCCTGGCCCTTAACCAATGTTTTAAAGTAACTAACCTGGCTGCCTCAGATAAGAGAGGTCTTCTCCTATGTCAATATACCCAATTTATGGGTGACAAAGGCACTGTGAAGTAACTTGTCCAAAGTTGTTAGTGGGGATAAATGAAAACCCAAATCACCCATCTCTCAAAAGCAGTTTTCTTTTTTCCATTTCTAGAAATTATGAAATAGAATGTATTTTTGCTTTGTTTACTCAGAAAGAACAGTTCTACAGGGGTTTTACAATATAAAGGAATAATCTGAGACTTCTGTTTTATTTCACAAATAATGAAAATGGTTATTTAAATAGAGGCTAAATTTAATAAAAAGGATCAGATAATTCTGACCAACAAACTGGTTCATTCAGAAAGTTTTACTGACATATTTCTTGTATATTCATAAATATCTGTGTATTCAGCATATAGGTTTCAAAAAAACAAAATAAAACACCACTTTTCTCATACTCCCTCATGTTTGAGATTTGAGAATGCTTATTAAACTATGAGCTACTAAGGTAAAAGGCATATAACAAAACACATCCATTTTAGTAAAGAGAAACCTGGTCAAAACTTGTAACAGTGCCACTGAAAGACACAGTACCAAGCTTTTTGTCCTCTGCTTTGCACTAGGCCAATGTTTTCTTAAATACGTAAGGTTCCTCAGTAAGCATGTTTTCATATTTTTAATCCAGCGCAATGTAGTTTTCAATTTCCCCAGTGACACATGCTAATTTTCAACTTGAATCTATAATGTCATCTAATTTGTACCCCCCAAAAAAGAGATTAAAAAAAAAAGTGGATGCACTAAGAAAATTTTCTACCTACTATTTTAATTAGCCTCAAAGTAACAATTTGTAAAGTAATACCAACGCAATTTTTCTAAAAATCACCTAGAATAAAATTATACTTACCAACAACAAAACAATCTTTGAATCATGTTTTTCAAGTAAACTAGTAAAATAATGGGAATTCACAAACAAACATGAAGTTCCAACATTAATCATGAGATTATTGGTACATTAAATTTGTTCTGGTCAAGGCCTTACACATGGCAGGCACTGAAATGAAAAATCTTAGAATTTACTGAGCACAGGAGAGCTTAACATGTGTTATATATGCAATAAACACATTTTAAAAATATACAATTGAAATTAAGAAAATCTTTGTACAAAAAGAGCCAATAATTTTACTATTTAAAGTGCTCTTGTAAGTCAGTAAGAAAATGATCATGTTTCCAAATAGTTAGTACACAGTGGTCTTAAGCATAAAATCCAATGTAAGCATTGCTTTTAGTGACAAAAGTATAAATAAACAGGAAAACAGTTATCCATCTATTGTTGAACATGAAATATTATAAAACCATTTACTATTTCAAACACTAGGTAATAGGGAAAAATATATATGACAATGTAAGTAAAAATGTGTAACCGAGGGAAGGCTATATTTTTAATTTTAGTTAATTTAAACAGCCACCGGCGGCACAGATAGCAAACATTTCTATCAGCACCGTAAGTTCTACCGCACAGTGTCAGCCTTGACTGTGGAACTGGAGATATGGCTATGAATCCCAGCACTGTCATTATGTAGCCCTGGGCAAGTTGTTTTAGCACTGTCACTCAGTTTCTATGTAAAGTGGGATATAAAACATCTCTGATGAAGGACTGTCTAAGGTAATGATGAAATAAGTAATGTATCACGTGCAGGCAAAGAGCATAGCAAACTCGCTAACATGACGCACACACTCAGGTGCTAGGCAGCTATCAAACTCCCTCCACTGGCACTGATACTTTCATGAAGTCTTCACATATAAGCTGTCGCCAATGCCCAGAGCTCTGCTGCTGTACACAGTCAGCTGTTCTGTTAACAGACACAGACCACTGCTCCTCCTGATAACACATGCCACCCCCTGAAAACAGAGATGGCATATGAAATATGTAGCTAGAGGAACCAACATCCATTCTTACTAATAAAAATAGTGGCTCTGTTTTTATGTAGTAAAGTGAGACCCTATTACCAAAAGGTCTTATTTCATAAATTCAAAGGATAAGATACTGAACAAACCCAAACCCCCATGTTTTATTAGAAAATCTATTTCCCCTTAATATGGCAAAACCACACACAAAATAAAATCAACTTAGGCATTTCCCATTTCAATTAGCAGAAAAGCTGAGATCATGCTGAACCACTATTTATCTAGACAGCTCGAGGTAAGAAAGAGCTTTTTATCCTATCGGTGTAACTAACAGAACCTCCAGTGAGCCGTGTTTCCCCTAACAACCTAGTTGCTCCACAAGAAAATCACCAAAAAGCATGTAGCCTAATAATTCTAATTGACACTATTAATAATTCCAGCACAGTCCTTTAAAAAGATCAGTGCTATCTACGAGTAGCAAATAAACTCAAGCAGGCAGCAGGAGCCTTACCTTTTGATTGATGTAACAGAATACACAAGAATATAGCCATTAATATCTATGGAGTATGTCTGAGGAAAGATAGAATATTCATCCTGTGGGAAAAAGAATTACATTTGAGTAGTCTTCCTAAAGCATCACAAACAACCTTACCCAAGTTTTTCATGTACTACCTTAAGAAATCAAAGTAGACACAGAGTGGATTACAATATTATGCCAGAAACAGCATACACACTGAGGCTTTAAGAATGGCTTGGAGGTGATAAAGTGCTTCAAGCCAATATTTAAAAATGACTAGCTGCTCCAGAACTTTACGGGAAAGGCTGATGATCTCTATAATTCCTGGGAGAAGAGGATGGACGGAACACAAAAACGATTGGCTCTGCGATCTCAAAACAAGGGATGACTGTGACTAAGTCCAGAATCTTCTAGGCCTCAGGACATTCATAAATCCTATTGGTTTGGTCTATAAATCTGTATTTTTATATTTGAAACTGTCATATTATTTGACCTGTTCTCTGCATGTCAGTCACAATCACCTGAGCTTCAATCTACAGGTTGTTAGAGGGGTGCCATGAGCATCTGGGGGTGGGGGGAGGGACGGAGGGGGAGAAAGAAAAGAGGATCAAAACACTAGATTCAACTGAGGTATTCAGACTTTTGGGGAACCAACAGAGCGATTTACTGAGCAAGTCTAGGAATTAGAAAGATACCTACTACGCAACAGCACAGCAGTCTCTAGTTTTATAAAGCAGCATTATGAAACTTCGCTTCAGATACGCATTAAAGCATACAGAAAGTTCTATGTCAGTGGAGTTTTCAACAGCACGTGCCACTGTCTGGTACAAACATTTCATTCTCAGTTAAAACTAAATTGTCAACATAATAAATGTCCCAACCAATACTACAGAAAAATAACATCATGCTACCAGTAGATCAAAGAGCAGTCTACCATTTTTGTAAACTTACAGTATGGTTATAACCACTGTTTATGACAGCCCAGAATTACTGCCCTAAGGTAAAGGGCAGTCTTGTTTAAAGAAAAAAAATTAAAAAAATTAGTTTTACTATAAATTCTTTGATATAATAAGATCAAAAACAAAATCCCAAATGATTTTAATCACTAGCTCAGCTACAGTAGGTTCAAAGTCAAAATTTTGTTTTCCCTAAAGGCAAAATGTGGAAACACAGAAAATGGGAGTTACGTCTAAGAAACAATGAAAAACAAAACAAAACGAAACAAAACAAAACAAAAAACCCACCAGTTAGAAGGTATAATGGAGGAAAAAGCCCCCACTGATATAATTCTGACTTTTTTTTTTTTGAGACAGTCTCGCTCTTGTCACCCAGTCTGGAGTGCAATGGCACTAACTCGGCTCACTGCAACCTCTACCTCTCAGGTTCAAGTGAGTTTCTTGCCTCAGCCTCCAGAGTAACTGGGACTACAGGCTACACCACTATGCCTGGCTCATTTTTGTATTTTTAGTAGAGATGGATTTCATCATGTTGGCCAGGCTGGTCTTAAATCCCTGACCTCAGGTGATCTGCTTGCCTTGGCCTCTTGCAAAAGTGCTGGGATTACAGGTGTGAGCCACTGTGACCAGCCTTTTTTTTTTTTTCTTTTGAGACAAGAGTCTCACACTGCCACCTAGGCTAGAGTGTAGTGGCAGCATCTTGGCTCACTGCAACCTCCACTTGCCAGGTTCAAGTGATTCTCCTGTCTCAGCCTCTCGAGTAGCTAGGATTACTGGCAAGCACCACTATGCCCAGCTAATTAAGCTAATTTTTGTATTTTTAGTAGAGATGGGGTTTCACCATTTTGGCCAGGCTGGTCTCGAACTCCTGACTTCAGGTGATCCATCTGCCTCGGCTTCACAAAGTGCTGAGATTACAGGTGTGAGCCACCACGCCTGGACTTTAAAGTCTACTTTCCAAGAAAGAATAATAGCAATATAACAGTAATCGGGAGGGCAGGTGAGTAGAAACCATAAAGCTATCATAAAATAATACTGTACTGGCTCACAAGTAAAACAGACTGGAAAATCTAGAAAGACCCGATAGATATGAGAATGAGGTATGTAATAATATTGGCATTTCAATCAGTCAGGATCAAAAGTAACCCTCAATTGACACAGAGGGACAAGCCCAGAGCCACCTAGGGTGAATGGCTAAGCCAGATCTCCAATGCATGCCCTGGCAAAAATGTATTCCAGAGGAATCAAAGATTTAAAATGAAAATTATGTGTATAATAGATGGGAAAGCTTAAAAAATATTATCAGTTTAAAAAAGATTAATAAATCCCAATATGTGAAAATGAAAAAGTTCTTCATGGTTGCAAACCTCTCAAACAAAAGCCATAGAGGACAAAATGAAAACAAAACTGTGCATCTCGGATCCTATACAAAATACTAATTTTCTGCACATATCAAGGAGACTCTCACATCAACACACAAAGACCAACCACCCAATAGAAAAAAAATGGCAAAGTACACAGGAAAATTCACAGGGGGAAAAAATACAAATGTCTACCAACATAGGAAAAATCAAAGCCCCTCCTAGGAAGAAACATGCATAATTAAAAGTACACCGGGAAGCTGTTTTTTACCTATCAGACTGGCAAGCACCAAAAGAGTTGGTAACACGCAGTGCTGGCGAGGGTGTAGGGAAATAGACACTCTCACTCACTGCTGCCAAAAACATGAACCCTAACCCTATGATAGCCTACATCCAGAAGTGTTCTTATGTGCCTATTACCCTATGCCTAAAACAACATCTGGGATGTTCATTAAGGCAAGACTGGCAATAATCTAACTGCTGATCAGCAGTTAACTTATGATATATATCCAACAACTGGGTATTATGCAGCCTTGGGGGAAAAGGAGGCCACAGGTATTGATATGGAATAATCTCCAGGATCAGGTGTATTACTTTTTGTGTAAAAGGAAAAAAAACCCAAGCTTAAAACTATATTTGTATATTCATGTATAAAGTATCCTAGAGACATACTAGAAACTGGTAAATGGGTTGCTGGCAGGAGTGGGGGGGTTAGATAGCTAGGGTAGGAAAGTGTCATTTTACTACTTACGTTTTTGTGTTATTTACATTTGTACCATGTGCATTACACCTGTTTTTCAAAAAAATAAACTTAATTTTCAAAAAAGCAAATTTGGTTACATTATATAATGGAATGTCATTGAATTGATTTTTAAAATTATTTTTATTAGTTTTTGAGACGGAGTTTCGCTCTTGTTTCCCAGGCTGGAGTGCAATGGTGCAATCCTGGGTCACTGCAACCTCCACCTCCTGGGTTCAAGCAATTCTCCTGCCTCAGCCTCCCAAATAGCTGGGATTACAGACGTGTGCTACCACATCTGGCTAATTTTGTATTTTCAGTAGAGACGGGGTTTCACCATGTTGGTCAGGCTGGTTTTGAACTCCTGACCTAAAGTGATCCATTGGTCTCAGCCTCCCAAAGTGTTGGGATTACACGCAAAAATCCATTTTAACTATTAACCTATTTATGCCGGAGGTTGCAATTTGTGTGTGTGTGTGAAAAATCAGACCTTGGCAATGACCTTGAGCAGTAGGATGTAAATAACTCCCACAAGCTTAGTATTCCAATAGTGGAACACTGGGTATAAATGGGTTAATACAGGGGCTACTTTTTTTTGATACCTCACATTCTTACCCCAAAATTCATTTAGTGTACCTGTTCTCACCCTAAAATTGGGCAAAACCAAAATACTTCATCCAATCTAAAAATAATCTGTATTTAACTATGTTCATCATCATTCCTAGGTGGGCAATTAAACCATAGTGGTATGGAAGTACTGGCATAAACTACCAAGTAGTAAATAGCACTTGCTAACAAATATTGCTATGCAGCAATTTCAGGAGTGAAATGTGTAAGCTAGACAAATTTACTATAACTTACTTTGAAAAGAATATGCCCCCTAATCATCTTACCCCACTACTACTAGTCTTATTCCCAGAACTACTAGCCCAGTATGCATCCAATTTATAAAGCAGCTCCTGGAGCAGTAAACGTGTGACTTGTTCTCATCCAGTTTTCAATTGAATGAAGGATGAAATCATGGCAGGACATGCCTGTGCTTCACTGTCCTGGGCTGGAAATAAAGAGCACACCTTTATTTGACTGTCTCTCAACTGTAAATATAACCTTCAAGAACTACTAGTTGCAATGAGAACAAATTATTTAAAATAGCCAAATGTGGATATATTTTGTGCAAAAATTCTCTAAATACTTTTACCCAGTTGTAATAGAGCCCAAAGGGGAAGGCAACAGGGCTGCTAATACGACCACTGCTCTTGTCTTGTCTCCTATCACACACTCTCCCTAAACGCTGGAGCTTTTGCTTTCACTGTTTGCATTACTACATCACTAAAACACTTTAAATTATTTGATGTCCAAGTGTACATTTACGATCTGGGGCAAAACAGTACCTCAGAGGAACATTATCTTCCAACTTGGTAATTCAAGCCAATATAAAGAAATGTACTCTTTAGAGAAATCTTTTCAAAGACAGCTCTCCAAGTTTTATGAACATGTGTACTTGCACCCATGCAGCCTGTCCACACAGTTCATATGCTGGCATCACACTTGCCTCAGCAGCATTAAAGGTCTACAAAGAAAGGGCACATCATCCCCTTCAACCCCAGTCTGACAATCCTGCAGCAATGCCAGTTATCACTATAGATAAAGCTCTGAGGCACAGAAAGACTTCTTTACCTTTTTTTTTTAAAGAGACGGGATCTCGCTCTGTTGCCCAGGCTGGACGGCAGTGGTGCTATCATAGCTCACAGCAACCTCAAATTCCTGGGATCAAGTGATCCTTCCACCTCCCAAAGTGTTGGGATTAAGAGCATGAGCCACCACACCTGGCCCTCATTCGCTTTCTTACAGTTACTGGATTAGCAACAAAAGCCAAGTTTCAAACCCAGGCAAGTGTGACTCCAGGACCCACACTCCAAAGAGGTGAAATACTGGTTCCCTGACCTGCCTGATATAAAACTGTTTCCACAGTAACACTACATGAAAGTGATTTATCAATTTACATTCTCATCACTTTCCAGGAGCTTAAAGAAGATTCCAAATAAGGATACAAAAACAAACTGAAGCTTTGATAGTGTCATAGTCCCACAATAAACAGAACAGCTGTACTTCTTTGCCCAAGACACTCTAAGTTACACCTGTTGTCCCAACATAATTATTATTAGCACCCCCAATCCACAACTCTAACAGTGTCTTGGTTTAGGCAATAAATTATATATTCAATGTAACTATAAAAGAAAGATACAAACCCCAACAATACAACACCATTTCCTACTCAAGTGGCTCTTCCCTTCCCTACTAATTTCATGAGTAATGTCACCTGTGCATGACCCCCCATGGAGACTTCTACACTCCCCTGGCCCCAATCATCCCCAACTCGTATTCTTCTGTCAAGAGGACAGGTATTGGGGCATGAAGGCCTAGGATGCTCTATTCTAACGAAACCATCAAGAATCTGACTGCTAGAGCACATTACATTCACCACCAGCAGGAAGTGCGTAGGGCGAGTGAGGGAGGCACATACAGCTCTGTGTACAAGCTCAAAGAGACAAACACATTGATTTCGTTTGAAGCTTCCAAAATGGAAACCTCAGGGTTCCTCCAGTGCTAACATCACTCAATACAGCTACCTTCTGGCTTCACGAAGGTGTCACACTTTCCTTCTACATTTACTTCAAAACACAAAGCAGAGGGAATTCATTCCAAGCCCAAAGAACAGGTCATATTATTCTGGGTTTACTCCAATTTCCCCAGATTCTAGAAAAAAAGCACCCATTTAACATGACTGACCAGATCACACTACACTCACCCTCCCAACACTCTTATCCTTTGATTATAAGTTGTAAGGGTGGGTCAGGCTTGGTGGCTCACACCTGGCATCCTAGCACTCTGGGAGACCAAGGCAGGCGAATCACCTGAGGTCAGGAGTTCAAAACCAGCCAGGTCAACATGGTGAAACCCTGTCTCTACTAAAAACACAAAAATTAGTCGGGTGTGGTGATAGATACTTGTAATTCCAGCTACTGGGAGGCTGAGGCAGGAGAATCATTTGAACCTGGGAGGCATCGGTTGTAGTGGGATCGTGCCATTGCACTCCAGCCTGAGTGACAAGGCAAGACTCTGTCTCCAAAAAAAATAAAAAATAAAAAAAAAATGCATGTTGCAAGCGCAGGAGGAGTTAGGAGCTGAAGCCCCAGCTTCTTTACATTCCTCACCCTCCAGTGAAGAAGTGTTAAGTCAGTCTAACAGAATGGTTTTTACTAAAAGCAGGCCTGGATGGCATGGTAATGGTGCAGCTAAGCTGTCAAAGGGCTTTTCTTTGTTCCATGTACTCCTTTCTCCCTTGCTTCCAGTCAGTTCCCCTGGTGATCCACTCCACATGTCCCTGCTACATTAACTGATCTGTGAATATCCTTTCTGGGGGGATTATTCGACTTTTGGCCATTACATACTGTCTATCAAATAAAGTGAAGCTCCCTACTCTAGTAATCACTCTCAAATCCACCCACCCAGATACTCTGACTATATAAACTAAAGGCAACACTCAAACCAGAAACTGGACTCCAATCAAACTGGTATTTTTACGGCCCAGGTCTTCATAAGACTAAATCAGCTCATTCCTGCCCTATGCCCCTCTTTCGCCTTTCCTCTAGAAAAGATGTACTTCTGCCCTAATGCAGGAGAACACATATCACAAAGGGAAAGAAAGCACTATGTGACTCTCTAACATAGAATTAAAGTTCAGAAAATAGAAAATCAGCATCCTGTAATAAGTATCAGCCCTTACAACGTTAATATATTTAAAGCAATTCTAAAGCAGGAAAACAAGTCATTAAAAAAAACTGCCACAAATGTCTTAGAAAAGACAGAGTGGACAGCATATTCACATTAATTATCTATGTACGCTCCTTGACTTCTGATGGGGTTACATCCTGATAAACCTACTGTAAACCAAAAATATCATGAGTTGAAAATGTATCAAATACTCCAAGAGACCCATCGCAAGGATGAGAAACTGTGGAGCTGAGCCATTGCAAGTCAAACCATTGGGAGTCAGGGGCTGTCTACACATGACATGAGGGGTTTTCTTGGCATAGCTGGTACTTTTAAAAATCAGTGCTAGGGCCAAGACTGTCTGATATGCTGTATAAGATTCTGTGATACCAGTGGTCACTTACTTGCCCAGCTGTGTCTACAAGTTGAAGATGATATTCTTGTCCATTTACTGTGATCAACTTTGTAAACGCTACAGGGAAAAAGGGAATTAAATATTAGTTAAAAAAAAATTAACTCTAAACCACTTGAAGTTTGAACAATGACAACCAATCAAGCACCGAGTCCCTAGCAGTCTCACAGAAAGGCCCCGTGAAACAAAAATGAACAACTCTCTGACTTGTATAGATTCTCCCCTATTTCCATTATTTAGCTACGAAACATGCTGGCTGGCTAAAATCAAGCTTGGTAAACCTTGATTCTTTTTCAAAGAAACAAAGTAGGTAACAATTCATATTCTATAAGAGCAATTGAATGCTCTGTAGCAAATCCTTTCTCTTGTGAAAAAGTGAAATATGCTACACAAAGTCTGAATAAAGTCTAGAATAAACCAAAACCACAAAAATTTTCCATTAATTTATAGGAAGTCTGGCATTATAGCACAAAGAATTAATATTGGTTGAAGTGCTAAGAACTTTTAGTATATACAAAAAGTAACAGTTTTACTAACGGATAAAACAGCAATGACACAGATGTTCTGTGTTGAAGTCATCATTCCCACTTAAGCTTAAGGATCCAAGCAATTTTGTCACAACTTCTTTTCCCTGACAAGGGAGGAAAGAAAATCAGACTTGAATAACTTCCGGAAAAGTCAATTCAGATTTCGAGGGAGACAGACTTCAAGCAAATATAGACAAAAGAGGAAAGAACCACTGACAGTAACAATGTAAAAATAACCAACTGGAACCCTGACAAGGAAGTGTAACAGATTTCTCTTGCACACTCGGCCCTAGCCATCTTGACTCACGATGAATCCTCCAATCTCCTGACTGGCCGTCCTATATGACTAGCGCCAGGCAGCACAATCTATCCCTCATACAACTGAGAGAGGTCCCACTCTGCCCACAGCAGAAAGGCAAAACTGAAACAAACACATGGAAATGACACAAGAAAACTCTAAGTGATAAGGAGGACTGATAGGAGATCTTATCTGAATTATATGAGTTCCACAGGGAAAGAAAAGATGGCTGAAAGACAAGCAATCATCACAGAGAACCATATTAGCATCACACTTTTCTAATACAAGAAGGGGTGCCAGAGGTCAAGTGAGTAAAGATTACAGACCACACCACAAAATCAATGGCCACACTATATTACGCTTGAACCTTCTCTGGAAGTTATCACTTATAGGAAACAGTTCAATCAGATGGAAACTGAATCGGAATATTTCAAGCTGGGGTGATACCCAATATAACCTATTTCATCAATTCTAAGAAATAATTCAGATTTGTTTTTACACTGTCTCCTCTCTGAACTTGGGATGCATCTTTCACTGCTGGAGCTTTCAGTCCTTGTCAGCCCGGGGGCAGTCACTACATAGCTGTGTAAAAACCTTCAGTCAGGTGAGATTGAAGTATGAGAAGTATGTAAGGAACACTGGTGGCCAATAAAACCAGTGACCTTCAATCAGAACTAAGTAACTGTGGTTATCAAGTATAATTATAATGACAAGGTTACTGAAAGGAAACATCATTCGTTCATTCATTTATTCAAGAACAAATTTCTTGAGTGCCTATTATCACCAACCAACAGCACTGCTGTAGGTGCTCGGGATGCTGCAGTCTCTGACACTCAGTGAGCTTAGATCCCAGGGAAGAAAAGATATAGACACACACACGTACCCTCCCACCTTGGGTATCTTCCCTGGGAGTGGAACATCCAGGCAGAGGTTAAACAGCAAGTGAAAAATGCAAAAAAGTCAATGCAGCTAAAGCTGAGAGAGAATGGCACGCAGGTAACTAGGACGGACAGGAGGCAGAGGGCCCTATAGAACTTGGGAGTTTTACTCTGAATGTGATGGGAAATCAAGGAAACATCACTCTGGCTATGCTGTAAATAACAAAATGGTCACAGGGATACTAGGCAGGAGCCCATGATACAGGGACCAGTGTTGTGACTATACAGACTATCACAATCTACAGAAGGTGACACTGGCCTGGATTAGAGGTGTAGATACTCTGGAAGTATTTCAGAGGCAGAAACAAAAGAATTTTCTGATTGATTGGAAGTAGGATGTGAGAAAATGAAGAGTCAGGATGACTACAAAGCTTTTGGTTTCAGCAACTAGATAAAAAAGTTGCCGGCCGGGCGCGGTGGCTCACACCTGTAATCCCAGCACTTTGGGAGGCCAAGGTGGGTGGATCACGAGGTCAAGAGATCAAGACCATCCTGGCCAACACGGTGAAACCCCGTCTCTACTAAAACTACAAAAAATTAGCTGGGCATGGTAGCCCGTGCCTGTAATCCCAGCTACTCAGGAGGCTGAGGCAGGAGAATTGCCTGAACCCAGGAGGCGGAGGTTGCGGTGAGCCGAGATCGCGCCATTGCACTCCAGTCTGGGTAACAAGAGTGAAACTCTGCCTCAAAAAAAAAAAAAAAAAGTTGCCACTTACATGTACAGGAAAGACTGGGGGAAAAAAACTAGCGATAGGAGAGGAAGCAATGAGAGTTGAGTTTTAGAGATGTTAAATTTGGGATGCCTATTAAATACCCAAGGGGAAATGAGGGCAGTTTAATAAAAAAGCCCAGGATGCAGTGGCTCATGCCTGTAATCCCACTTTGTGAGGCCCAGGCAGGAGGACTGCTTGAGACCTGGAGTTTAAGACCACCTTGGGCAACACAGTAAGACCCAACCTCCACAAACAAAGGAAAAACTGCTCCAGCATGGTGGATCAAGCTTGTAATCCTAACTATTTGTGAGGCTGAGGGAAGATCATTTGAAGCCCAGGAATTCAAGGTTACAGTGAGCTATGATCATGCCACTGCACACTCTTGCCTGAAGGACAGAGCGAAAGAACTTGTTATGTAAAAGAAAATAAGTTATAAAGTCAGATAAAGCCCAGAGCTTGGGGGAGAGGTTGGGGCTGAGAATATACACTGGTGAGTCAATAGCAAGTTGAAGAGAGGGGAAGATCACTTGAGGGCAAGTGCAGAGGAAAGGCCAGAGCTGAGGCACCCCATGTTGCCGAGTCAGAAAAATGCAGAAGATTCGGCCAAGAAGACTGAGAAAGTACTGGCCAGTGAGGTAAGAGAAAAAAAGGTAGGAGATGTAACTGTACACAGTGTATAAAAGAAATAAAACATTAATAAACATTTGCATCTGTTTTTGCATGTAGAAAGTTGTAACTTGTCCTACACATAGCAGTAAAATGAAAAAGACCTTCCATCTTGCTGTCATAGGAAAACTGCCAGTTTTTGTTACTACAGAAAAAAGGGAGGTATAATAAGAGATAGGATAGACTAGGAAATAATTCTACTCTCTAATTTTAACCTCATGTCCAAGTGGAAAGCTGGCTTTCTTCTGACGTCACTCTCCTTGAGCCCTCTTCTCCCTGCCTCTTTCGAACACCAGAGAATCCATTTCCAATCTATTGGAATCCATTTCCAAAGCTGTTACTGGTAAATGCTACTAACCAAGGTCATAGAGGTTTCTAAAATTTGGTGTTCACAAAACAAGATCTGTATTACTAAAGTGTGGCGGGGACTCTTCCTTCATACCTTATTGAGAAGTCCATACCCAGGACACAGTGCCTGGAGAACGCCGCAACACCAATCTCCCAAGTTTTTAGAAGGCACTTTATCATTCTCCAGCAGTGCTATCTTGAGATTGCAGAGGTTGGAAATTGCTGCTATGCTTTTTAATTATAAACTACCACTAGCTTAATTTCATCCTATCAATTTAGTTTGTATTGTTAGATTAACACCACAGTAGATAATGAAGGTATATTTGCGTAAGTAATACTTTTGGCTTTACAATTTCCCCAAACTAGAGTAATAATGTGGTTTTATTGATATTATTCTCCTATACTCCTACTGTCGATAACATGGTCCCAGAATTTTTGCTCTTACCATGATACTTCATTGAAATGTGTCATCACTGAGTGTTTGCTATAACAGCTTGTTCTAATATTATAAAGTAAAACAACTACTAAATTCTTTCCAGATCTACAGAGTAGTTTTTTAAAATCATAAAACCACTCACTTATTTATGTCAATAGCAACAAGTACATGATAACATTTTCTAATTTATTGTTATAACCAAACAATGTTTTTGTACCAAATAGTGAACAAAAGGGTGGAATAAAGGCTCCTGTCCTGTGTTAGGTTATCAGAAGTGTGGTAAGTAGAATATAATGCCTGAACACGCCTGAAAAACTTTTAATAGATACATCTTCGTGTTGATTTCTGCTCTTGCCTACAGACTTTAATAAACAAGTATTCTGAATTCATTTTTGAGGTGAAAAAAAAGTCTTCATTATTAAACTGTGTAAGATGAGAAAAAATTTAAAATACGACCAAAGATGATGTTGAAAGCCTCAAAAAAGTAGGGTCACGTTACTCTGTTTCTGAGATAGTAAGTTGGACTTTCTTCTGATCCATTATTTACTAATAAAATGTATTTATGTATAACTCCACGATATACAACTCCATGACTTTCCTTCCAACTCAATTTTTATTTTTGAGACTGCATCTTGTTCTGTTGCCTAGGCTGGAGTGCAGTGGCATGATTACAGATCACTGCACCCTCAAACTCCTGGGCTCAAGTGATCTGCCTACCTCAGCTGAGATTACAGGCACATCCCATCACACCCAACTAATTCCAACTCAGTATGAAATGGCATGAGGATACATATACAATTAACCATTTTAATAGGCGGAGCTTATGAAGAAAACAATATTCTATTGTTCTATTAATACAATTCCAAAATGAACCTTATTATTTCAAGGATATAAAATCCTAAATTGCTATGTATAGCAAATATTAAAGTCCAAGATGATGGTTTTCTTATGTTCTTATTTCAGTGGACAAATAACCAAGCTTGTTCATCTAGCATTCACAGGAATCTGCTCCTCACACCTGCTTACTATTCTATAATGATCAGCTAGACAAATCACAGGATGTATTCAGGACTCCTCCCTGCAGATACCGGCAGAGGCTACTTTCAAATATAACATCTTGAAAGGTTAATTTCAAAAATTTTCCCAGAGTTAATCAACCGATAGGTTTCCCTCTCTGCTACCAGCACACTGGGACACAAAGGACAGCCAAATATTTTAAGCAAGGGGTGGACAAACTTTTTCTGTAAAGGGCCAGATAGTATTAGTAAATATTTTGGGCTTTGCAGGCCACCTGGCCTCTGCTGTAACTATTCAACAACTCTGCCATTGTACAGCATGTCAGGGACAACATAAAAAAGAGCAAGCACGGCTGTCTATCAATAAAACTTTCAAGATGTTAACATCTGAATTTCATATCATTTTCACATGTCAGACATTATTCTTCTTTGGACTTTTTAAAAAATATATATTATGCTTAAATGTAAAAACCGTTCTTAGCTCTTGGTCTGTATAAAGACAGGCAATGGGCCTTTCTGGCCTGCAGGCTGTCATTTGCCAAGCTCCTTGCGGTAAGCCAAAGTATTCAAGTGATTTGGGCAGGTGAAATCTGCTCCCTGTCTAATATGCCAATCAGGTGCTGATGAATCCCATGTTTAAATCTACATGTTCCTGGTGACAAATCCTAGTAAGTCCTGGTCTCAAGAATCTGAAAAAACTATTTCCAGAGCCTGAGGTTCTAAAATAGGCTGAACAGACCAGATTCCAATAGACCAGACTCCCTGGATGATACTGTTTCAGATTCTCCTTAGCAATCCCTAGAATCAAGATCTGTCTCAAAGCTGGGCAGAGTGTCATATGCCTGTTTCCAGCTACTTGGGAGGCTGAGGAAAGAGGATCATTTGAGTCCAGGAGTTTGAGTCTTGCCTGGGTAACACTTGTGAGACCCACATCTCCTTAAAAAAAAAAAAAAAAAAAAAATTGTCTCATGGTCCTAGAATCCATCAGGAAGATTCTGAAACCATGGTTTAATATTGAACAAAGTAAAGGTCATGGCTGGATCTGGTCTTCCCTGCTTTTTTCTGCACATGGCCTAAAATGTCAATAGGCTTTTTTGAGCCAACTTCTTCTTAATGCTGCAACTGCTCTCTCCAATCCCAGAATAGTTCATCTCTCTTTCAAATCTTTAGGACTGGAAAGAAGGGCTACAGAGAAATGGGGGTAGGAGTATGGCTTCTGTAAGAATGAGGACCAGGGATCTGAAGTGTTTTTCATGCTTTCAAACTTGGAACCCCTGGAAACTGCATGGCTGGGAGGAAGCGGGTGTGGGGGAGAAGACTGTGGTCTCCATTCCTGTTTTGGAGCAGATTCTGGAATATGAAGTTTCCAGTAATGGGCCAGATTCCTACTGACTGAACAATTTCTAGACAGCAGGGGATACGGACATGGAATGAAAAATCTTTCAGGGTAAAGTAGGTAAATCTTTCGCAAGTTTACTTTGACTCCAATTGGGAGACATTCAGAATTTACTTCCCGCACTCAAAGCTTCCATGAATACACAATGACTATTTTACACAAAAGAAGGCTTCTCAGTTTTTAAGTACTTGTAAACAATACTTACTGTTTTCTATGGTTGGATCGTAGGAGTCAACAAATTGGCCTTCAACAAATTGAATCGTCAATGAGGACTTCCCTATAAAAGAGAACAAGAGCTTAGTGTGTGCTGGTATATAAAGGTAAAAATTTTTAGTTTTGCTGTTTTATTAAAAAAACCATTAATAGATGAAAAAACTGAAAGTATTAAGGTCAGAAAACATTCCTTTAATAAGCATTTGGGCAATTTCAAAAAATGAAATAAATTTCATTTATTTGCTTTATATGAGGATATTATGCAATTAAGCTATTACAAAGTAAACATGTCTGTGACATTAACAAAGATTACTCACCAACAAGCACATCAGGTATTCTGTTAAAGGTAAGCTAAAAGGTTTAAAGTAAGCTAATTTCCTCTAGTATCCTTGGAATCTAACTATTTAATTTTCATATGAAAATAAAAATGATTAGTTTCTTTATAGTCTTTCATACATGACGGTTAGAAGTGTAACCAAGTACAGCTTTTAAAAAGAGTAATTCGGCTAGGTGTGGTGGATCACGTTTGCAATCCCAGCACTTTGGGAGGCTGAGGCAGGTGGATCACCTGAGGTCAGAAGTTCGAGACCAGCCTGGCCAACATGACGAAACCCCGTCTGTACTAAAAATACAAAAATGAGCCAGGTGTGGTGGTGGGCACCTATAATCCCAGCTACTTGGGAGGCTGAGACAGGAGAATCACTTCAACCTGGGAGGCGGAAGTTGCAGTGGGCTGAGATTGCACTACTGCACTCCAGCCTGGGCAACAGAGCAAGACTCTGTTTTTAAAAAAAAAGTAATCTGAAAATATGTAACATAAGTCTTTATTTTAAAAACTCCTTTGAAGCTAGAAATACTACCTCATTCAGTATCAAATGCCTAGCAGTATCCAGACAATTAAGAAATGTTATGGATTTCACAAAATTACCAGTAATAATTGAGTTTATATGTTAACAAATCAACAACCAGAGCCTTAGCTTCTGACTCTTCTGTTACCTAAAATGTCTACTGGAGAGAACTTTAGAACATGGTATGTGCCCTGTGAAGGCCACATGAGAGAACATAGTTCAGACGACTTTATCACCAGGAATGAGGAAGTGGTCCCTCCCTAATTTCACTCCCAATTCCTTCTTTCTCTCTTACATCCTCGGAACATTATTACACACATCTATATGCCTGGCATACTTCACTCCACCACAACAGGACATGCAGTGAGAGCGAAGGAGAGGCATGGTAACACCATCTTACACTCCTGGGTTTAACTTATGCTTGCTTCTCCTCCAAACTATAGACAGGTATAGCTGCACAACGTTTTCACACCAAAGACATTTCTCAACATTTAAATTATTAAAAAGGTGTATGGTGGCTCACGCCTGTAATTCCAACACTTTGGGAGGCTGAAGCGGGTGGATCACCTGAGGTCAGGAGTTCGAGACCAGTCTGACCAACATGATGAAGCCCCATCTCTACTAAAAATACTTAAAAAATTAGCCAAGCATTGTGGTAGACACCTGACATCCCAGCTACTTTGGAGGCTGAGGAAGAAGGATCCCTTGAACCCAGGAGACAGAGGTTGCAGTGAGCTGAGATCACATCACTGCACTCCAGCCTGGGCAACAGAGCAAGACTCCATCTTAAAAAAAAAAAAAAAAAAAAAAAAGGTAGGCGTTGCTGGAAAGGCCACAAGTTGGCAGACCTATTTACTCTTCACCAGCGGCCCAATATGCAGTTCAAAATGTCTCTAGAATTACTAAATCCTAAAATTATTCTCTACAAAACAGCCGACATAAGCATTTGAAAATTAAATGCTACTTCTCTGCTTCCAATCCTCATTGCAATTAGAATACATTGTCAACTTCTAACCATGTTCCACAAATACCAGGACTGCTCTGACTACTATCTCTCTGAGCAGCTCCTGACAATCCATCCTGAGACTCCAGTCACATCTCTTGTGCTGCTGGAGTTCCTGCCCCCCCTTGGCCCCTTTATTCTAGCCACCCCCCTCCCCCATCTCTGAATATATGAGTCGTCTTTGTCATTCTGATCTAAGCTCAAATGTTAGTCTGACAGAGAAACCTTCAAGACCACCCTAAGGCAGTGTCCATTCCTTAAAGGTCATTCTCATAGCTACTCTTTTACTAAGTTATTTGAAATGATCTTCATTTAGTGAACACTCCATTAAAGCCAGTACAGGGCCAGCCGACACACTGTAAACATTGAGATTTCCGAACAAATGAATTAAAGTGCAGACCTTGGAAGGTCACTCTTATCCACTTAGATACTACAAAAGATCTCAATTTTACATGAATAAAATAGAAAACAGTTCAACAGAAATTAAGAAACATGTCAAGTAGTATTTATTGGCTCCTAATCATAGGCCTGCCTGTGACATAGGAATACAATAATAGTTCAAGAATTCCACAAATTTCAAACGAATTGTGTTGAAAAGAAGCCATGTTATATATGCTAGCCCGTAAAGGAGAATTTAACTCAAAATATTGCAAAACTATTTCAGGTAATAAAAATAGCAAGGGGAAAACTCCTCTTCTATGTTATCAAAACTGAAAAATTAGAAGAGGTAAAAAAAATTCTTATTTACACAATGCTACTGCTTAAAGAAATGAAATTTAATTAGAAAGAAGACGAAAGACTTTTTAAGGGCTTTTGAAGGGTACTTCTAGGGACTCTGGTGGGCTTTTGATACCCTTATGTGGGTAGGATAAAGGTTTGCGGGGTCTTTGTTTTGCTTACAAATGGAAAGAAAGCAGATCATTTTCTCCCTAAAGATAAGGGCAAGAATTACAAAGAAAAAACGAAACAATAGAATTAGAAAGATTTTTGCAACATTTCGGGTAGTAGAAGTGGAGTAAAAACAGTGAAAGTGAGGCTAACTATGATGCATGGGATATGCTCCCCAAGCTGCGGGCAGCTGGGAGGCCCTGGATCAAACAGTCCTCCTCTGAGCCGGCACTGGCCAAGTCTCAACAACCTGACTTGCGGGAGTAAAAGGACAGGGAGAAGAGCCTCAGGAGTTTCCCGGGAAATTTAGGAAGCCACATTCCAACAGAAAAGAAAGCTACACACAGTAAACAAGACAGCATGAGATAAAGTACAAAAATGGAATGAGAGAAGAGCTCTCATTTGTATCACAATGGGCATATACTATTTGACAGGCTAAATTAACATCTCACTTGAAAACATAAGTAATCATTCTGGTAACAATGTAGTCTAACCAAAATCACATCGCAGGTTGATAGCCAACTGTTGTTTTCATGAAGAGTAAACTGGGATACCAGAATTTAAAACTTATTCCTCAGTATTAGTTTTCTCAATCAGATTCTCAATTCTCAATCAGACTGGCCCTGGGAGAAAGGTATTGTTCATTAGCAGAAGTGGAACTGAAGAAAAACTAGGTTTTCCTTTGGTCTCTCCTCCCTGGGGCTCTCCACCCTGAGGCGAGGTCATTCATTATTTAAATAATCAAGAAGGGATAGGAAGGCTGTATTTGCTGACATGCTGTTTTCCGCCAATTCCATTAAAAAGTGCTATTATTAGACAACTAGTGTTGAAATCTTTACAAGTCAGCAGTAAATGCTAATAAATCTTCATAAATAAACCCCACCGCTCATTTTCAAGTGTTCTCAGTTCTAGTTATAATTTCTGGCTTTAAGGCATGTCTTCGGGAGAAGTAGCTCAGATCTTTTGGTCAGGTTTTTCACATAGTTTGCTTGCAGCTACAAAAAGGCACTGGTAAACTCTACCGTGAGCACCTTTAACCTCCTTCTCTCAACTTCTTATGTGATATTGTGCTGGCCTAGAGCCAGAACCGGAGCAAAACTATTTTATAAAATACAAAACTGTTTTTAGATAAGTTGAAATGGCTGCCCCATTCTCCTTACAATGACTTCTGTCCTTGGCCTCTGTGAATAGAACTGCCAGTTTGTTCCTCAAAATTATGTAAAGCTGCCTACCTTTCTTATCAGTAACTGCTAAAATCTGTGACTTCTATCACCACCCAGACGATGTGTAAACAAATGTATATCCTGACTTCTGTAAACCACTGAGGTAACAAACAGAATGACAGAAGTCCCCTAGCCCTTGGAATGTCCGGAGACCCCCGCCCTTGTCTCCACCCAGGAGGTGAATCACAGAATCCCCTAGCCCTTGGAATGTCCGGAGACCCCCGCCCTTGTCTCCACCCAGGAGGTGTCCGACACCTTATCATCCCATCCCCGCCCATCACCCCCACTCCCAAGGTGGTTTCTTGGGTATAAAAAATCATGGCACCCTCCTTTTGCCACCACAGGTTGGAGAGACGTGAGTCCTCTGTGGTCGCCGGCATAATAAATGACCCTACAATCTGGCATACTTTTGTCTTGTGATAACTTTCTACATTCGGTCAAATACAACACTTACACTGTGGCTTCTGTCCCTAGCAAATTCAGATGTGGAAACACTAGTTACTTGCTGAAGATAATCTCACACTCCAGATCAACTCTTTGGAAAAAATGTTACATGAAAACTACACAAGAGTGATTCCAAATAAATGGAAAAGTAGACCATACTCAGATGTGTGTTTATCCTCAAACATGAATCACTCATTTAATAACATGTTACCATAAATGGTTTAAAAAGCTAAATCTCAGTTCCCCAAATTAACTTCCAAATACTCTTCCTCCAAACCAAAACCCACCTTAACTCATAAAAATAAAAATTATTTAAAAAAATTCTTCTGAACTTCTATCAGGGAATAGCATTGTATTATTTTTTTCCAATGATAAAATGGCACAGTAAGTTTCTCACCTAGTATTTTCACTACAGAAGGTGTACTTTCAGGGGTGTTGACTGAATCTTATACTCTGTGATTACTGCAAAATAGGTACTGTTTACAAAATTATTTTAAATTTTCAGATTCATATTAACCTTGTTATCATGCTTATTCTCCTAAAAAATAATGAATTAGCCAGGTGTGGTGGGTCATGCCTGTAATCCTAGAACTTTGGAAGGCTAAGGCAGGTGGATTGCTTGATCCCAGGAGTGTGAGACCGGTCTAGGCAACATGGTGAAACCCTATCTCTACAAAAAAATGTAAAAATCAGCTGAGTGTGGTGATGCATGCATATAGTCTCAGTTACTCAAGAGGCTGATGTGGGAGGATCACTTGAGCCCAGGGGTTGAGGCTGCAGTGTATGTGAGCATGCCACTGCATTCCAGCCATGGTCTGTTCCCCCACCATCCCCTACAAGCCCAGTATTTTCCCAAACAGCTTATACATTGCTTGTTCACTGGGATATGATGAGGAAGACCAGATTTTCAATTTATCAACTAGTCTAACAAGGCATTCTGCAGAAGGGGTCCATTAGAACCGACGTAGCACACAGGACACAATCCATTCCAGAGCTGCTTTCACCACCTCAAATTCATAACATAACTTTAAGGGGCTTTGATGACCATGGACAGAAGCTAAGAGCTTAGCCTGAAAGCCCACTGGCCTTTGCACCAGTAATCATCCCCATGCTACTTCAGCAACCCACCTCCTGAGCACAGTAAGAAGTGCCTGGTCACCACCCAGACTGCTGTTGTTCCTCTGGCACCTGCACTTCTTCCCACCTATCAATCAATACACAGGACCAGGTATTCCCCAGTGGTCTCGCTTACCGCTCATCACCTAATCCAAATCACCTCTACAAGCAATGTTTCCAAATTGGCGGTGTAGCCTAACTAGTCATGAAGTCAATATACTGAGCCATGAACCACACTTTTTTAAGAAATAGGAAGCCAGCATGGACTGCAAACACGAAAGGCCTTCTGAATCCCCTGTCTCAGTTATATACACATTTATGACTAGGTCACAATGTAAAATGTATTTTTTACTAAGGTGGCTACAGACAACAGGTTAGAAAGATGAACAATGACTGAATCTCCAATCTCCACCAGGTTTCACTTTCTTCCCTATTCAGCTTAAGCCCCAAGATAAATCTTCCACAACTCTTTTGTGAGAAGTCTCCAATTTCCCTTCTCTAGGGCCCTTCAACAAACCCCTAAGATCTTAATCAAATCAATTGCCTTTGTGAGCCTGTTGAGCTGAGCCACAGAAAATTCCACAACCAGGTGGGTTGGTGACCCTTAGAGCAAGCTAAGGTCTATACCATTATAACAAGCCACATGGAATGAAGTAAAAACCAAAAACATGTTTGTGACAATTTCAGGAGGAGGAAGGTTCAGAGGAGACTAGGAGGGAGAGTGGGATCTATAGAACAAGGGGATAGAACAGCTTTTGTGGAAGGGGAGGGTGGCTAACTCCTCCTCTGGTGAAAACGGCGGACTGTGTAAGGCAGACAGAGCTACATGCCCTGCTAAGGGGCTCTGGTTACTGTGTTTGATGTGTGTGCACCAAGTTGGGCCGCTGGGTGAGTAGGGGATAGCAGTGACCAGAACATTGAGAGTGCCTTCGCTTTAGAGTGTCTCATTGCTTTAGAATGTTGGTGGCTTCTTCCTTGCCTCTAACAATAGTAATTCTTTCTCAAAGTGTGGGCCCAGTAGCTTAGTACTACAGCTACAGAAGTGCTAAGTTAGTACTACGGTACTAACCCATAACAAACGCAATTTACTGAGCCTCACTCAAACTTCCTGGATGAGCAACTCCAACACGGAAGTATTAACAGGCCCCCTAGGTGATTCGGCTGCACAGTTCTAAGGTTTAGGAACCGCTGCCCTCACGCAACAAGCTCAACTATTATCACTTAGCACCTTCAGGGTGTTCCCTAATCCTCCAGCTCCCACCAGCAACTCAGCTCATAAAGGACACCTACTAGGGGCCAGGCACTGAGGATACACCATGACTAAGATATGTTATGACTTCTGAGCGATGAGGAAGGTACTCTCAATGTCCCCATTGCTGCTATCCTCAACTCACCCAGCATCCCAGCTTGGTGCACACACATCAAACACAGTGATTGGAGCCCCTGAGCAGGGCATGTAGCCCCGTCAGCCTTACACAGTCCGCCGTTTTCACTGGAGGAGGAGTTAGCCACCCTCTCCTTCCACAAAAGCTGTTCTATCCCCTTGTTCTGTAGATCCCACTCTCCCTCCTAGGAGACTTCCTCCTCCTGAAAATAGTCACGAACATGTTTTTAGTTTACTTCATTCCACGTGGCTTGTTATAATGGTATCTCTGAAATATTTAAACATGTTTAAGAATCCAAGTTCCACTTTGCTCTCCATGCTACAGAAAACTGTCGCTGGATGCTGCAGCAGCTGGGTGCTACACGCTTGACCATGAAGACGAATGCACCTTACAGAAAATGATCTCAGCCACTTACAGCTCCATTTTACACAATCAAATTAAATGTGCCCATGGGGACACCTGTGGGCCCTGCAGAAATCTAATAACATCCCTGACAAAAGGTGTATAGACTCTGGCTTGAGGAGCCTTCAAGGAAAAGGTCCAGTAAATAGAGGTTAAAGTACTGGAGGCAATTAAGGAAGAGAAGCAGCTCTCCAACTTTAGGAGAAACATCGATGAAAGAAAGTAAACATCAATGAAACCTGCAGAATAGAATTCAGTGAGTACCACTGAATTGAAAGGATATAATAACTGTAATCCCAGCAATTTTGGAGGCTGGGCTGAGGCGGCAGATTGCTCGAGCCTAGGAATTCAAGACCAGCCTGGGTAACATGGTGAGGAGACTCTGTCTCTATAAAAAATACAAACAAATTAGTGGGGCGTGGTGGTACACACCTATGCTCTCAGGTACTTGGGAGGCTGAGGTGGGAGATCACTTGAGCCCAGGAGGTTGAGGCTGCACTCCAGCCTGGGTGACAAGAGTGAGATCCTCTCTTAAAAAGAAACAAATGAAAAACTACTGGCCAGAGGCAAGAGGCAAGCTGTGACTTCTGGATGTTTAGCTCCCTACTGACTAAATGATGACATTCTCACAGGACAGCTAGCTATTAGGTTTCCTCCCGCCAACTTGGTTACACATTCACTTAAACCTCTATCTAGTTTCAGCAGTTACAGACAGAACCCGTTTGTAGAACAAGGAGATTAAGTCTCCAATTGTCCCTTCTCCCAGTTCTACCTCCCAACAGCTGGATTTTTTACAGTTCCACGCATGGCAACATTCCATTCCATTCTGAATCCCAAGTTTTCAAAGCTCTGACTATGGATTAATTCATTCATTTCCTCAAATATCTGTCAAATGGCTATTAAGTGCAAGGCACAATTCTAAGCACAGGAATACACTGGTGAACAGACAAAAATCCCTTCCTTGATACATACATTCTAATGAGGAGAAACACATTAAAAATAAACACAATAGGCCAGGCACAGTGGCTCACACTTGTAATCCTAGCACTTTGGGAGGCCAAGGGGGTGGATTGCCTGAGCTCAGAAGTTTGAGACCAGCTGGCGAAACCCCGTCTCTATTAAAAATACAAAAAATTAGCTGGGCATGGTGGCACGAGCCTGTAATCCCATCCCAACTACTAGGGAGGCTGAGGCACAAAAATCGCTTGAACCTGGGAGGTGGAGGTTGCAGTGAACCGATGTTGCACCATTGCACTTCAGCCTGGGTGACAAGAGGGAAACTCTAACTTAAAAAAAAAAAAAAAAGGCCGGGCACGGTGTCTCATCTGAGGTCAGGAGTTTGAGACCAGCATAGCCAACATGGTGAAACCCTATCTCCACTAAAAATAGAAAAATTAGGGGGACATGGTGGCGCATGCCTGTAATCCCAGCTACTCAGGAAGCTGAGGCAGGAGAAACACTTGAATCCGGGAGGCGGAGGTTGTAGTCCGTTGAGATTGCACCCCTGCACTCCAGCCTGGGTGACAAAGAGTGAGATTCCATTTAAAACCAAAACCAAACCAAACAAAACCAAAAAACCAGGACAGTGGGCAAGATTGTGGTATGAATCCTAGCTGTGTCTTGAAGTTAAGCCCTCTGGGCTTCAAAATCTTTCCGAATTGTGATGATTAAATGAAATCACAGATATAAAGCACAGTACCTGGCACCCATCACATATTCAGTAAACAGTTGAATTCAATTCTGTACCACAATCCCATAGTCAATCAAACTTTTCCCAAATTATGCCCAACACCTTCAATCCACAAACACCGACTTAAGTCCTACTCCATGTGTAATTCTGGAACAGGGAGAAAGGTACTATTAATTGTGAAAAGTCAAATATCACCCTCCCTCACTTTGAAAGTATCTTTTTTTTGGAGACAGGCTCTCCCTCGGTTGTCCAGGCTGGAGTGTAGTAGTGCCGTCAGAGCTCACTGCAGCCTCCAACTCCTGGGTTGAAGGGAGTTCAACCATCAGCCTCCCAAGTAGCTGGGACTATAGGGGTGTCCCCACCATGCCCATCAAGTATTATTTGTAGAGACAGGGTCTCACCATGCTGCCCATGCTGGTCTCGAACACCTGGGCTCAGGCGCCCATTCTGTCCTCCCAAAGTGCTGGGATTATGGGTGTGAAGCCACTGTGCCTGGCCTGAAAATGTCTTAAAAAAAAAAACATGCTGAAGATTTTCTTTCAAAAGCCACAAAGGTTTTCCAGTCAGGAGAAAGACACGAGAGGATGAAACATTAGGAAGATGAGAACGCAATTCTGAAATATGGACTAGAAATAAAACCTGGACATTTTTTTTAGCGTACTTCAAAATAGGTACTTATTACAAACCAAAAAAAAAAAAAAAAAAAGGAAAAAATTAATCTCTAAGAAAAAGTAAGAAAACCTTAAGAAGAAACAAAGTATGTACCTGGTTCTTCAAGACTTACTAGGAGCCTAAAGG